GCGGCGGCGTCGCCGCAAGGTGAGTGCTGGGACGGGCCTGGGGACAGGCTCTCGGGCTCCCCCCACGGCCCCTTCAAGCCTCTGGGTTCTCGCATTGAAGGAGGGCGACCGCCGGCCGCCGAGTCGAGCATCGCGCCTGACTGGAGGCGGGGCCTTCTCAGGCCCGGACCTAGAGCTTTCTGCCTCGAGCTTTCGTAGTTGCGTGAAGGCGTGAGCGCTGGCTGGGGGGCCGGGAGGAGGGATCCCCGCTTGCTCGGCCGGCCGAGGGGCCCGGCGCCGCTGGGCGGTGAGGGAAGCGGGCCTGGGCGCCGCGCTGAGCGGCCTGGAACCTGCGTCACTTGGGTTCGCGACGCGAGCCGAGGACACGCGTCTCAGCTGCCTCATTTCGCTGCGGAGAGGGGCGCGCAGAGAATCTTCGCACTGAGGTGTGCAGACGCCTCCCCCCAGGGTCAGCCTCTGACCTGCCTGCCAAGGGGGAGGATGAGCTGAGCGCCCAGCACAAGGCACGTGTTAGAGGGGTCTAAGTTCCTGAAATCCTGAAATAGAAGGAAGAGGAGGGGTGGGTTTTAAGCTGTTCGGCGGAAAGCAGAGCCCCAGAACAGCGTTGGCCTCTTCAGGCTCGGGCTGAGGAGGAAGACGGCACTTTAAAAAAAAAAAAAAAAAACAAAACGGGTTTACATAGGCATACAGAACTGGGGTACAGGCCAGAGGCGCAGGGGCGGTGAGAGGATCCACCAGAGACAGCGGTGAGCAGAATAGGCAGATGGACAAGTACCCTGCTGAGGGGAGCAGCGGGCGGGTCAGGAGAGGTCTGCTGCGCCATGTGGTCACCTCCGGGGCAGGTGGGGATCGAACTCATGCAGAAGTGTCTTTGGCTTCTCAGTGTTGCCCTTTAGCCCACTGTGCCACCAGGGAGGGCCCTGAAGACTGCAGTTTTTATAAGCTGGTCCTCTTAGGGCTCCCCATCCCCCCTAAAAAAAAACTACTCGGATCCCTAATTCTGCCGTCAAAATGCCTTCCGTACGGCGGGCGGCTCCATCGTGCTTTGCTTAAAATGCTATTCGACTTCGACATTATTAGACCAGTTCCACGTTTTAAAAATGTGAGAGCACAGCTTCAGAACGGACTGATTAAACAGGGTTGTTGGGTCTGGGGTCCAAACCAAACTGGCTCAGTGGTCTTTCCGCCACCTCCGGCATCCTCTGTTCCAGGCACACTGCCCACTCTGTGGGGGCATCTCTTTCCCCCTGTTGCGCACTGTAGCTGGGAGCATGCGCATTAGCGCCGTCTTTGCAGGACCTGATACTGTATAGGCAGTTTAGAAAGGTAGTTGCCTCAGAACATGGTGTTTCTTGCTTGCCAACCTAATGGAACATTTCTCTTCATCCAGCAACCATGAAGCTAAAGGAGAAAAAATCAAAGCCAAACCCATCAAACCTTGGCAAATTTAAGACAAAGGGGATCAAAGTTGTGGGAAAATGGAAGCAGGTGAAGATTGACCCAAATATGTTTGCAGATGGACAGATGGATGACTTGGTGTGTTTTGAGGAACTTACAGATTACCAGTTGGTCTCCTCTGCCGAGAATTCCTCCATTCTTTTCTCTAAGGAGAAACCCAAGAAGAGAAAGGCACAAGCTGTTTCAGAAGGAGAGGGGGAAGGAGAGTCTAGCTCCTCAAAGAAAAAGATGAAGTTAAAGAGTAAAGATGTGGAAACTGAAGTAACCAGTGCCCAGAAAGAAGATAAAGTCAAAGATGCTGAGCCAGAGCCCCAGGAAGATGACACCGTGAGTCCTGATCCCATGGTAGGGGAGATGGCATCAGGAAGCGTTGTCCAGTCTCTTCCAAAAAAGAAGAAAAAGAAAGAGAAAAAAATAAAGGAACCTTCCCAGGGCACTACTACCAAGGTGCCCAAAAAAGCAAAGACATGGATGCCTGAAACGCGTGACCAGAAGGCGGATGTCTCAGCTTGGAAGGACCTCTTTGTACCCAAGCCGGTTCTCCGAGCGCTCAGCTTTCTAGGTTTCTCTGCACCCACACCGATTCAAGCTCTAACATTGGCACCGGCCATCCGTGATAAATTGGACATCCTGGGAGCCGCTGAGACAGGTACTGGCATCCTTGTCTGGCAGGGAAGGTTGCTTCTGGATTGGGCCTGTGACTGCTCCAAGGCTGGATGGTTGGGAGAGGATTACATGGGGAGCAAACCAGAAGTGGTAGAGCAGGAAGGTTTTCACGGGTCATCCAGCTTTGGGTGGAGCCTGCCTCTTCCTGGTTGGTACCCTAGACAGGTTCCTTTATCTTCCTGTGTCCTAGAGACCCCATTTTAAGAGGTGACAGTAGTGTCTACACCTTTTGCACTGAGGATACAAATCAAAGTTTACGTGGTATATTGTAAGTGATATGCAAATGGTATGTTCCCCCTATTTCCACACTTTCTCTAAATGACTCAAAGGGTAAAGTAGGACCTAGGTCAAGCCTCCAGAGAGGTAGGTCTTCATATGTATAAGGGGGAAGTGTCTAATTCTCAGGCGTTGCCCAGAGATAAAAAGGGCTGCTTTGGGAGTTGGTGAGCTTGTCATTGGAAGGATTTAAGAGAGTGGGGGGGGATTTTGTAGGCAGATTTGGTCTGGAGGTGACTGTGAGGAATAAGCTCTGTTTTAAAGTTCCCTCACTATTGGGCTGAGACTTGTGAAGCAGTGGTTGCCTATAGCTTCATAGTGCTGCGACAACCCTTTGTGCCACCAGAGGGCCTTATTCATGTCTTTTACCCACTTTAAAATTGGATTTACTATTGAACTTTATATTCTTCACAGTCCTTTTTTATCAGATGTAATTTGCATTTTTTCCCCTCCACAGCTGTGACTTGTCTTTTCATTCTCTTTATGGTGTCTTTCAAAGAAGGGTTCCCTGTTTTTCTGAAGTTGAAATCATCACATTTTCTTTTCTGTATGTGCTTATCTAAGCATTGCCTTAACCAAGATCATAAAGAATTTCTTCTATGTTTTCTTCTGGAAATGTTTAATCATTTCAGGTTCTATGCTTCAATCTTTGATTCCTATTGGGTTAGATTTTGTTTATGGTGAGAAATATGGATCAGACTTGTTTTTCACTTTTGGCATATGGCTATTCCTACACATTTGTTGAAAATGAGTCATTTTGTTGAGAAACAATTCTTTCTCTGCTGAACTGTCTTCTGTATTTCTTTTGAAAAATCAATAACCATACGGAGTTACCTAAAGTGTTTACTTTCCATTGACCTACTTTGGTATATCTTTACCCCAATATTTACTCTTTGATATACAGTAGCTTAAGAGTAAGTGTTAAAATAAGGTAGTATAAGCCCTCCAGCGTTGTTCTTTTTAAGTTACTCTGTTGTAGGCCCTTTACATTCCCATAGGAATTTTAAAATCAGTTTGTCAGTTTATAGGCACACACACAAATAGCTGATATTTGTATTGGGGTTATGTTGATTGCAGAACTCTATACATTTCCAGTCCACAAATTTAAAATATTTATTCATTTTTGTTAGGACTTTAATTTTTCTTTTTTCTTAGCAATGTTTTGAAGTTTTTACATAATGTTTTGTATTTCTGATTGTTGCTGATGAATGGAAATAAGATGGGTGTGTGTTTATTGTATCCTGCAGTTTAATGCCTGCAAGTAGTTTCTTAAAAGATTCCAGAGGATTTTCTACAAAAATGATTGTACCATGCCTTTTTGTTTTTATATTTTGTCCTATTGCTCTATTCCAATTTTTTAATAGGAATGGTACAGTGGACACCATTTTTGAGGGAAAACATTTAGTCTTGCATCATGCAGTATGAAGTTTAACTGCAGATTCTTTGTAGATGTCCTTGGTAAAGTTGATAAAATTATCTGTTTCTAGTTTGCTGGACATATTTTTGTCAAGAGCAGTTGGATTTTTTCAAATGCTTTTTCTGCTTTAGATTGTTTATAATATGAATTATTTATTTCATTGTTAAACTAAACTTCCATTCCAGTGATAAATCAAACTTTGTCATAGTGCATTATTCTATTTATACATTATTGAATTTAATTTGCTCAAATTTTGTTGAAAATTTTAAAATTCCTGTTCATGGGTTATTGATCTGCAGTTTTCTTGTAATATCTGTGGTTTGGGAATAAAAACAATGCAGACCTCCCAATGGTTTGGAATCCTCTGTTCAATTTTCTGAAACAGTTTGTGTAGAATTGGTATTTTTTTCTATTTTAAATATTTGATAGACATCTGGACATGTACTTGTCTTTGTAGGATAATTTTTTTTTAAAGATTTATTTATTTGTACATACAGAACTGGGGTACAGGCCAGAAGCTCAGGGGCGGCGAGAGGCTTCACCAGAGACAGAGTGGGGAACAGAACAGGCAGATCGACGAAGTACACTGCTGAGGGGAGCAGCGGGCGGGTCAGGAGAGGTCTGCCACGCCATGTGGTCACCTCCAGGGCAGGCAGGAATCGAACTCATGCGGAAGCGGCTTTAGATTCTCAGTGCTGTGCTTTAACCCGCTGCGCCACCAGGGAGGGTCAGGATGATTTTTTTTTTTTAAGATTTATTTATTTTTTCATACAGAACTGGGGTACAAGCCAGAGATGCGGAGGATGAGAAGATTCACCAGAGACAGAGCAGGGAGCACAACAGGCAGATAGACAAAGTACACTCTGAGGGGAGCAGCGGACCGGTCAGGAGAGATCTGCCACGCCATATGGTCACTTCCCGGGCAGGCGGGGATCGAAATCATGCGGAATTGGCTTTAGCTTCTCAGTGCTGAGCTTTAACCCGCTGATCCACCAGGGAGGGCCTGTAGGATGATTTTTAATGACATTTAATAGAAATATTTATGTTACATTTTTCTGAGCAGTAGTTTTCACTTGGCGTTTATCCATTTTGAAACTCTTGAACTATTGTAATCTCTAAATGAATTAGGTCTTTCATTATAAAGTGGCCATCTTTTTCCATCTTTTTCTTTGTTCTAAAATTTCTTTGACTGTTGTTAATGTATTTATTCCAGCTTTATTTTGATTAACATAGTCTTTTTCCTTACTTTTACTTAGGGCTTTTTTATATCTTTATATTTAAACTTGGTTTCTTGCAGGCAATATAATTAGGATTTGCTGTTTGATCTGACTTTTCTTTAAAAAAAATACTTATGCATACAAGAACTGGGGTACAGGACAGATGGTGGGTAAAAGAATTCACCAGAGATAGAGTGGGGAGCAGAACAGGCAGATTGACTGAAATACAGAGCTGGTGGGCCCTCCCTGGTGGCGCAGCGGGTTAAAGCACAGCATTGAGAATCTGAAGCCGCTTCTGCATGAGTTTGATTCCCACCTGCCCTGAGGTGACCACATGGCGCGGCAGACCTCTCCTGGCCCGCCCGCTGCTCCCCTCAGCAGTGTACTTCATCGATCTGCCTGTT